TCTTTCTCCAGAGTGCAGTATCTAAGAATCATGCCATTAAGCATGCAGAAAAATTAAAATAACAAAGCGTATGCCAGTCTACTGCTATGTTCCAGTTCCTTACCTTAGCACAGAAAGCTGATCAGCATACTCACTATTTGAGCAAGTCTTTAATTTGGGTGGTAGTTAGCAAGAAGACTCAAAATGGAAGAGACTGACAATAGTGGAAAAGCAAGAGAAGCAATGAGAAATGGTGCATTGCTAAACCAGACCCCTAGCCCAAATGTTCAAGGATGGCGCTCTGTATTTTTCTGTTTAATCAGGAGTCAGAATCAATCTTTACATAACAGCAGCTGGCATCCGACATAGCTCTGTTTTCCATTTTTCTATTCGCAAAAAGCAGACTAAATCTTCCATACATAGCAACGATCATTAACTGAAATATTTTCTTAAACACAGATTAGCTTATTTTTTATGTATATCAGTAAGAGTTATCACCTCTACACATACAGGATACCTGGCCATCTGTGCCAAATTTAATGACACTGACTATGAACGATACACTTTTTTTTTTTTTCCTTTCCAGACCCATCTGGACTTACGGGAGTAGCAATTAATTGCCACAAAGAAAAAATAAGTAAGCATTTCATCTGAGTGATTATCACTGTTCTTTACTCTGATTTCATGCATGCAGAAGACCTTAAACTGTAGACACGTAAGTTTTAATGTTAAAATTCTGTCTCACCAAAGTTTTACATTAAATTCAGATATTAACTACAGTGCAAAACCACAGGAATCACAAACTTTTTTTTTTTTCTTTCAGAAGAACAGCTTTAATGCTAAAAGACTAAACACCCCTTCAGAACATGCTCTGTTCTGTCTAGTGGAATCCCTGAATTTTTACTTCCTAAACTTTAATTCAAAACAAAAAATCCACATCTATCATGAACACCTCAAGATTTTTAAAATGAAGATTTTCTTCACGTTGATAAAATCTTTCAGAAAAAGATTAAATCAAGTTCTGTATGAAGTTTAACAAAGACAAGTGGAAGGTCCTACTCCTGGGAGGAGATAACCAAAGAGCCCAGTGCAGACTAGGATCTGTGTGGCTGGGGAGCAGCCTTGCCAAGAGACCCGGGGGTCCTGGTGGAGAACAAGCTGGCCAGGGGTCAGCAGCGTGCCACCACAGCAAAGGCAAATTGGAACCTGGGCTGCATCCACAGCGGCCTTAGTAGCAGAGACAGAGATGTGATTACCCCTCTCTACTCAGCTGTCAGGCTGCACCTGGAGTGCTGTGACCAGTTCTGGTCCCCTCGATTCAACAAAGATGCAGACAGACAGGAGAGGTCCAAAGGAGGGCCACAAAGATGATCAAAGGGCTGGAGAACCTACCTTATGAGGAAAGACTGAAGGAGTCAGGTGTCTTCTACCTGGAGAAGGCTCGGGGGGGATCTTATCACAGCCTTCCAGTACTTGAAGGGCAGCTATAAAGAGGCTGGAGGTGCTCTCTGCACGTGGAGCCACACGGAGAGAACAAGGGCCAGTGGGTACAAGTTGCATTGGGAGAGGTTTCATCCAGACATAAGAAATTTTTGACGGTGAGATCAATCACTGGAACAACCTCCCCAGGGATATGGTAGAGTCCCAATCACTGGAGGTTTTCAAGACACAAGTGGATGGGGTGCTAGATAATCTCACATAGGCTCCCTTTCCCATGAAAGGTTGGACCTTGGTCTTTGGAGGACCCTTCCAACCTGGGCTGTTCTATGACTCTCTAAAATCAGATCAACAACTATGTTGTTCAAGGCAGGAAAAGCAAGTGGCACTGAAAATACAGTATAGCTTATTTTGCTCAGTTTTGTTCTTAGGTCTACAAAAATCAGATTTACTAGTTTTGAAATATTGAAGGACATGTCTCAGATGAAACTGCATACATTCAATTAACTTCAGAATTAGAAAGGAGACCAGCCAGAAGCATGTCACATGCTTCCCTGAACTTATTAGCCATTGTTAGTATCTTTATAGGCCAAGGAAGGCTGGGGACCTGAAAATCATAGTAATGTTGGTTAGGTAGAATGTCTGCAGCTTACCCAAGCCAACCTCTCACTTGAAGTAGGCCTACCTACAACAAGATCAGGTCAGTCGGTGCTGTTTGGTTAGACCTGTCATGAAAACTTTCAAAAATGGAGATGTCAGAATCTCTTGGGGTGACCTGCTCCAGTCCTGCGCTACCCTTCTAGAAAAAACCCTCTTCCACTAGATTCCCGTGTGTTTTGACCACTAAGATTCAGTCATGTTAAACAAACAAGAAACTTTAAAGTTCAGATCATCCTCATTCAACCAGATGTTTTAACAGCTTTCACAAGTTTACAAAATCTTTTGTTTTCTGTACCAAAAAAGAGACACAACATAAACCCATTATTTAAATCACAAATTAAATTCTACCTAGAAATTATCCCTTAAATTGATTTAGTTGAGACCAAAATCTGACACATTATAAACTGTCAGAGGATCTACTTTTTGTTAACCAAACAGAAGAAAACAGTACACTCATTAAGAACCGCTTTTTTGACTCAGAACCTAACATATTCCTTTTCACTTATTGATTTTCCTCCAGTACAAATCATTCTTCCTTCCTCAGGCAGTCTGCGTGGGTAATAGGGCAGAAGGGCAGACATTAAATTACTTCCAGCCTACTAAATTTTTTCTCCCTGCTGCTAAAACCTGGCATACACATCTGGGCCTCCAAACACTCCATAACATTTACTGCAGGACCCTGGAGATGCTTTGCTGTGTAGTTATTTTGAAGGATGTCAGTGGTGATCTGAGTTACTTTAAGACATGAATGTTATTCTTCACAGTTACAGCACTAAAAGTTCCTTTTGTGTGGTAGAAGAAAATTTGATACTACCAGATGACACATAGAATAAATTTACTAGGAAAGTCACAAAACAAAAATATTGAATTTTCCATCACAATCAATATGTACATGTTTAAGAGAAAAAGCACAGCAAGCAAATAAGGAGACAATAATCAGCTGAACATACTCCAGACGTACACTTATAAATATGCACTGTTTGCAATAATAAAATATTCTGAAATTCTCCAACTGACATCATTAGCCAATAAGATTACTCTGCAATACTTTCTACTTTGCTACAAGCTGGTTCTTTACAAAATCATTAGGTTTACTCCAGGTTATTACCATATCATGTTACAGCAGCCCTGAGGACTTGGCAGGACTGCTTATCTTGTCACAGAAGCAGCTAGCGGGGGTGTCCATTTTAGCTGTGGGTGTGGTCTAAGCACCAAAGCAGGATTGTTGTTGTGGTCCCAGCAGATCTTTACATATAATAGCTGATGATCATTTCTTGCTAGAAAAACCGCTATTGCTTTTAGTGCTCACAAATGTGTATACACTGCAAGATTTTATACAGCTGGTGATTTTATACTTTCTAAGGACAGGTACATCAACACCTGAGATCTTTAAGGAAAGGGAAAACTTGCACTGTGATATGGTATCAAAAACTCAGATATCTAAGGTAAACACGTATCTTATGATTTCTATCATTTAAAATTTGCTAGGACAAAACCACCACAAGACTTAAAAGTTTACATTGTCTTAAGCAGAAAACTCACTGGTGCACCTATTGCTGTGTGATAGTTAGCTTTACCTTGGAGCTGCATGCTGAACTTTCCATATAGCCAAAACCCCCCAGGTACATACTTCATTTTTGGGGAGATATGAGGAAGGGAGTTGGACTCCCGGCACGGTTTAGAGAAACGCAATGACAACAATTTCCCAAGTCACCTGTGTCCCATCAGCAAGGGGCTGGGCAGAGACGGGTCCACATGTGGTCTGTGAAGCTGGTTTGCTTCCTCACTGATCACCCCCCAGCACAAACCCATTGCTAAAAACACCTTGTGGCCCAGACAGGAGCTACACTTTACTGTTTGATAACTGCACATCTCACAGGCCTCAAGCCATCCACATTACATCCAGTCTTCTCTTTGTTAGAATAATAGCAAGCTGGGATACTCAGCACAGCAAAGAGCAAGGGAGAAGCCTTGATAGCAGGGGAACTAAAGGAGGAGGGGAACCTGATGCACACACACACGCACATGCACACACACACGCTGTTCTCATTAGCTCCAGCCCAGTTTCAGCTCCACAGCCTTTTTCCTCAGGGCACTCCCTCACACATGAGGTTTGGGGAATACTTGTGCCGTGAAGAGTGCAGAGCTCACCATGGTTACCCAAGTTCAAAGGTTTCTGTTCCCAATTCTTGCCAGGCTGGAGATGATTCACAGCAAAGGTAGCTCACATACAAAGGTTGCTGCCCGTGGTCCAACTGAGCGGTAAAGTGAATGAACTACCAACGAGTGATAAAATTTTGCCAGTGCTGATGGAGAGCACTCCCTCTGAGCGGAACAGATACCCAATGGAGATCAGGTGTGTGCCTGTAGTAGCATACAGGTGTACCCTTTGCAAAAAAAAAAAAAAAAAAACAAAAAAACAAACAAACCAACCCAAAACCGGTGCGGGTCTTCCACCGACAGCCAGCCAGGCAGCACAGCATCCTGGCGCGGCGAGACGAGCAAGCCCTGAGCCTGGGTGCAGCACAGGGAGCCAGGTTTTGGCAGGGAAGCCAGCCTCCTCCAGCACAACCTGGGTTGCGACCTGGCCCCGGCTCTCCCCTGCCAGCATCCAGACCAGACGCGAGGTTTTTTTTCCAGCCTGGGACAATCTGTGACTTATCCCTGATAGCTGGGAGGGCCCCTAACCTGGTGGTCTTGAGGCGGCCCGGGGGCCAGGGCATAGGGGACTGCGGGCTGAGCCTCCCCTGCGCCCCAAATCGCGCCCCAGCCAGATCACAGCTCCCCTCTGCCCGCCAAAAAAACCGAGCCACTCGGGCAGCCCTCCCCCAGCCCCAAATAACGCCGGCACTCCCCGTTCCTCCCCCCCAAAACGCCTTCTCGTGGGCGAAGCCAGTCCCTCCCCGCCCGGGCCGCCGGCGTACCTGTAGTTGTAGCTGCCGAAGCGCTGGCTCTCTCGCAGCAGGGCCCGGTACAACCGCAGCACCTGCGCCCGGCTGGACGCTGCCATGTTGCCGGCGCCAGGCGGATGTCGGTGCCGCGGCGAGGCCCCTTTTTTTTTTTTTTTTTTTTTTTTTTTTTTTTTTTTTTTTTTTCCCCGCCCGCAGCGCCCGGAGCCGCCTCCCCGGCAGCGGCCTGGCGGTGAGTGGCGGCGAGGAACGGGGCTGGCGGCGGCCGCGGCTCGGGCCCAGCGCAAGGCCGCGGCCTGGGCGCCACGGAGGAGGGGGGGTGGGTGGAAAACAAGGCTCTGCCCGGGCGGAGGCGGCCCCGAGGGGCGGCGTTTCGGCGCCGAGGGCTCGGTGCCGCCGGGTGCGGCAGCTCCGGCGGGCTTCCCTCCCCCCTCCGCCCCGCCGGCGGGTTCCTGCTGAAGCCTCGGCCTGCCCCGCAGCAAGGGGCCCGAGCGTGGGGAATGGAAAAATAAATAAAAAAAAAACCAAAAAAAACCAGCGTTCGGACAAGCTGGTCGGTGATAGTCATGCACAGCCGTGCTTGTGTTGTCGGGAGGGAGGGAGGTGGATGCGGGCAAGGTGGGGCTGGTGTAGGGCCCGAAGCGAGCAACAGGTGATGGGCATTTGGGGATTGCATCGGAATCGGTAGGTAAATTTGCAGGGAATGCTCGCCGGTGTTAGCGCAGCCGGGCCTGGTGTGCTGTAGTGGTGGGTGCGTTGTTCCTCTGACGGTGTCCTGTTTTAAGTTGGGTTTTGTTATTTCGTTTAATTTGGCCTGCGTAGTTATAGTTAAGGTACTGTGTAAGTTAAGTGGTGAGAGGCTCGGAGGAGGATTTCCTGCTTCTGTGCTTTTATCTTCAATGGGAAGTCTTAATTTGCTTACTGTTTTGTTTTTTTTTCCATAGCCTACAAAAACGACCACATGGGTTTTATTAAGGCCCTTCTCTAAGGTTTCCTATTTGTGTAGGCTTTCAGAAAACGAGTAACTGTGTTGAGCTTTGGCTGAATTTAACACACAGGCTTGCATGCATTGAAACTGGCCTTGTAGAGGACAGTACCTAGGCAGGAATTGTGTACAGTGCCTGGGTATCATACAGTCCACAGAACAAGAGGTTACCTGAACGATTTAAAAAGTAGGTCCTGCTTATTTATTTGCTAAATCTTGGTCTTTATTTTTCTGTGTTGTGAGGCTGGGGCTCTTTTTCTACTTACGCAGTTCTTTTATTGTTTATATCCGAGGCGTCCTGATCATTTTGTTGCTGGACATAGCACATACCTAGCATCCTTTTCTGCTGAAAGTTTTGCCACTGCAGAATAAACGTGACTTTATAACTTCCAAGTATGATGCCTTAGCTGTATTTAATACTGATTTTTAAATATTATCAATAATATGCTTTATTTGTAGTCATTAGAGGGTTCCTACTTTCTCTGTGATATATTTTGTATATCGTAGATGTTCATATGTGTTCTACATGTCTCTGGCAGAAGCGCTTCAATTACTGCTACTAATTGAATTCATATTTTATTGTGTGTGCACTTTGAGTATTATTATTTGTGTTAGTTGTACATTTGATGCAAGTTACAGTTTTTTGTGTAGAACTAAAATAGTTCTGTGCTTCTGGATGCAAGTAGTATAGACTCTCATGGATTTCTCTCAAGTTACAAGTATGCTGTGTCTTAGCAGTCCATTTAGGCTTTTGGAAACTGAGATTTTTTTTTTTCCATGCATAGCAAATTTCTTGAATATTCTCTTTATCAAAACCAAACATAGAAATGTTAGTGGAAATGTTACATTTTTGTAGAAAAATGTAAGCAGGTGAGACACTGTGATAAGCATCGTGCTTTTGAGGCCTTCCCTTGTAAGTTACAAAACAATGTGTTTTGGGTTAGCTTTTTGGCATTCAGGAAACCCAAACAGAAAAATGTAAAGCAAATATGCCTTTTAGTTGCCCATGGGACCAAATTCTTGTTATAGCCCAATCGATATTGTTGACACAGATTGCTACGCCAGAAATGGAGTCAGTCTGAGGTACTGGTGCTCCCCCATCTTTGCGGCTGCTAGTGGCTGGGGTGCTTAATACATATTAAAGCAGAAGTCTTGCTTTGTGTTTGCAAACTCGTCATCTTCCCTGAAAGAGCAGTGGAGCCTCTCCTGTGACTGGGGTACATATGTTTCCCCTAGCCTTCTGTGTACATGCATCACTACAAGCCTGCAGAAAATTTGAAGGACAGGCACAGCCCAAATGACCACTCTTGTGTCCTTTAGGACACTGGATCCTCGGTATGGGGAAGTAGCAGTGATCGTTTCATTAACTGCCACCTCATTCCCTATGGGGAATACACACCTGTTTTTAATCTAGACCCTGAGCCAGGACACACCAAGACATGGGCAGATGATTTTTTTTTTTCTTTTCTTTTTTTCCCCCCTCCAGACTTCTTTGGTATAAAACTCAGTGCTGTTTCATTGTTACATTTTATGAGTTGGGGCTAGAGAGCTGTTTTTATTAATTGTAGTGATACATATAATCATTGTTGAAGGGGGTTGGTGGGTGTTTGTACAGAAGTCTTTGCTTTTGGCATTTGGTCTGAGGAAGGAAGGTGGCCTGTGCCTTGCCTTTCTGCATTTCTTGGGATAGATAAGCGCTTTGTCAATGATACAATAGTATAATTATCTGGAATAGTTACTAATATTTTAAATATTTAGCCCCTAAAAAATAAAAAGGGCGTGTGTGTGTGTGAATTTGGATGAAATACCTGCAGAGACTGTGAAATGGTATGAAAGGAAACAGCTGTTATATTCTCTGTTACATATTGGATGTTTTGTCATATGTTGCTGAATTGTTCCTTGTGGTACACTATTTCAGCTTTATGACATGGCACTCAACACGTTAAGAGAGCATGTGCTTTCCTGGTACACTGTTGTTTGTGTTCATTATTTTTCTTTGGGGGCCAGAATGATAATTGATTGTCGTGATATTATCATCTCTCTTAATTATTGTTTTTCAGTTTGTGAAAACATGCTAACTATTCCCTAATGCTGTGGTGTGGTTTCTCTCTCTTCTTTCCTACTCTTAGTTCTTGATGGACAGTGTTGTACACAGTGGGATCCTACCCAGAGTAGGACTTTTAAAATAAGGACTTTAAATCACGAGAATTTTGTGATTTCAGTCACAAATGTGACAAACTACCATTTAACCATTCCTTATAGTCATGAAGACTTTCACAGTATCAAAAGGAGACCTTAAATAACTCTGCTTTTTCAGAAAACATGTATTTATTGGTTGCTGTATAGCAAAGAACATTTTTAATCAGAAGGAGAAACTTTCATGTTTCAAATTCAGCTATGCTTCTAAATTATTTGTGCATTTCAGAAAATTCTACCTAAGAGTTCAAAGGGAAGGAAAAAAAGGGGATGAAACTTTTGTCAGTCACTTTTTGTGAGTTATCCCATCTCTTTCTGAACTGAATTGCTGAAAGTTGTGTATTGTTTAAAGTAAGACTAAGAGTAATAATAATAGGAAAAAACCCCAAACCAGTAGTGGCTTTTGTATTGTAATACGCGGTCATGTAAGGGAATACCTGTTTTACCACTGCTCCTAAGTCTTTGCTGGTTCATGATCTCTTGTGCTGCAGGCATTAAACTGATTTTTTTTCCTTCTTGGTTTCCATTTTAATCTTCTGATTTCCTGTGGCCGTGAGCAACACCAGAGGATTTCATGGGCATCATGTTGCCTGCTAATTATGTATCACGTTAAGCAGTTGGATAGTTCAGCAGTTGTGGGATAATACAGTATATATCAACATTGCATGTCATTGATCCAGAAGTTGATTTTGAAAGATACTGATAGTGGAAGTATGTTGGTAAAGTACTTTGAAATGCCTGAAATAAAAATTCTATTAAAAGTCCATAATTTTGTGTTACAGCAATAGGCAATAGACTAAGTAATAGGGGATTAAAATTACAAATAATGTTTAAATAGTTCAGCGTGTAATAGATGCATTGAATGTGAATAACACTTCAAACCTTAATGATGATGAAATCTAAGGTATTTTCAAACACAAGAATCCAAAAAGAAATAAATGTATATTTGCTGTGTGGTTGTTTGTTATACTGAAATCTTACTGAGAAACCTAATCATGAGAATCGAGAAGGATAGGGTTTATGAAGTGTTCACATCCATGACCTCATCAATTCAGAAATGCTTTCTTTGCTGTGCTTCTCAGTGTTTTATCTAATTTAGTCTTAAATAACTTCCACTTCTGTGGGAAAAATATTATAACTTGCTGGTAAGAAATGTTTTCTGACACTCAACCTATGCCACTCTCTTCCCTAAGTTCATCCCACTCTTTGATTTATGCCCCTTAGAGTCAAGCTGTGTATTTCCTCTCCCTGCTCTGTGATTTACACTATCATCATATTTCTCAATAGTTGTCATCCAGTCAGGTTAACTTACTTAGTTGTTTTGATTATTTTTTTCTTCCTTTTGTTTAGTGGATATTGACATTTTTAGCTTAGGAAGCAAACTTAACTGCAAAAGAAGGACTGATATTTTGTTTAAGAGAAACTGGGAATCAATTTGTAGCCACCCCTGTATCTTTTTTGCTGACTTGTGATTTCAAGTTTGCCAGGTTGGTTACAAATGGTACTGTCAACAGTTCTAGTTAGTGATCATGACTGCATTTAAGTTCTTCTCTTGAGTTTATTTTTGTCACGTATGAATGTGTATGTGAATATGTATCAAAGCACATGTGAATATATATAAAAGCATGTTCACAGTCAGTCGTGGTGGTAAAGGTCATGCTGTTCATCCCAGACTCTCCATGCTGTAGCACTGGGGATTTCTGCACATCTAGCACAGTGCTGTGGTGGTGGTTTTTTTGTTTTCCTTCTCCTTTTTTTTCTGGTTATCCAGTCCCATGTCCCAGGTATGGGAAATCAGACAGCCTGCAGCATGGGTGCAACCCAGTTCTTCTCCTCCTCCTCCCTGCATTGCGGGCATGAGCCCTCTTGTCAGGTGCTAATAGGTACTAGGGGCTAGCGCCACTCAAGTCATGGGCTGTTACTTAAGTCCTTCCCTGA